AGCATGCACAATTAATTGTCATCCAGGATATGCTAACTGTGACAGCAACCCCTCTAACGGGTGTGAAATAAACACCTCAAACGACCCCAATAACTGTGGTGGTTGTGGTCATTTGTGTGCCATCGCTCCAAACAGTAGTCCATTGTGTACTGGTGGAGCATGCACAATTAATTGTCATCCAGGATATGCTAACTGTGACAGCAACCCCTCTAACGGGTGTGAAATAAACACCTTAAACGACCCCAATAACTGTGGTGGTTGTGGAAATGTATGCGCTACAGGAAGCACCTGCTCTAATGGAGTATGTTCGAATAGCTGTGCTGATGGTATTAAAAATGGTCTTGAAACAGACGTGGATTGTGGAGGACCAATATGCCTACCATGTGGATTAGGTAAATTTTGTCTTGGAGCTAGTGATTGTATGAGCAATGCTTGTAGTATATTAGTATCTCCACATGTTTGTGTATCTAATAGCTGTGTTGATGGTATTAAAGATGGTCTTGAAACAGACGTAGATTGTGGAGGATCAATGTGCTCACAATGTGGAATAGGGAAACAATGTATGACAAATACTGATTGCGTACCTGGAGCATCGTGCCAAACCAACATATGCCAACCATAGTATTCATGACAACTAAAAAAAATTATTAATACAGATTACGATATAGATGCATATTAAATATATTTTTTTTTCATCTATGGTCCGTAACATCTATAGTCATCAAATAATTTAGTGAAATTTTAAACTCTATCTAGTCATCCAAAGTTGATTATTTTAAAAAAATAAACCGTAATAATGATAGTTTAAATAATATTCTTTCAAACTTACGGTTGGTTTTTTTAATTATATTATATTTAATAAAGTTAAAATTTTTCGGACGCCGATCTGCTTTTCGGCCAATTATAATTCGTACGTATCACGTGAAAGACATATGACATCGTACTTCAGCGAGACTCGGCAGATTTACAGTATTAAATACACAGTGCAAGCCGATATAACGGACTATCGCTATAACGGGCACTAAGTAAAAATTCGATATACCGGATTTAAGGTTTATGACGGATCTCTTAATTAAATTTCGTAAAATTTTTTACTAATGGAACGGAGTGATTAGTTATATCTACTTGCACTGTGTACTTTAATGCTGATTTTATTAATGCTGATTTTGTAATAATCCCTCTTAAATATTTAAATAGAACGAAAGGACTTAAAAGCTAAGTATACACATAAACATCTCACTTCAAATGATTATAACTTATAGATAAATATTTTTTTTAGAATAAATACACTCGACAAGAAGGTTACTCGGTCCGGAGAATCGCTGCCTTGAAACGGACGGGTTTGGCTCCGGTTCAACAAAGATGGGAGATTCGTGTTGATCTACCAATACAAACCAATTAAATCGCGAATCGTTACGTCTGTTTTCTTAATATCCGAAATTTATCTAAAAATAGCCCAAGACTTACCCTGTGATTAGGTCGAAGAATTAATTGTACGTCTTTGCAAAATCAAATTAATTAAATTGATTCTTACTTAAAAGCGATATATTTTCCCTTATTATAATTTCGATTGTACGACATTGCATGTTACGTATATTAAAGTCGCGTCGCGTAAAAATTAAACGATAAAAGAATGCCGCTTCATTCTAAAAAAAAAAAAAAAAAGCTAGATGCGAGTCTAGAGATACGAAAGCGACAGTATAAATCAAAAATAAATGTATCACACCCTTTCGATTATAGCCGATCGTAATACAGAAGTAAATGAAGTAAATGATTTTAACGAATTGGATGTTAGCGATAGAGAGTGGGGCGATGGTGATGATAGTGGATGGGATGACGAAGAGGGCATGGAACTCGGTTTAGTGTGGAAAAACGACAACCATTTGGAAAAAACGAAGCGAGGCCCATACATGACAGGAAAGACACCAAAGTCAACCTATTACGATAAGTATGGGCTGAACGGTTCATTCACTAAAGCGGCAGTTGGAGCCAAAAAATTATCAGCTTCTTTAATAATGCAAGTTATGGATTTACAATCTCCCGAGTCTAATGAAATAGGAGAAATTTCGAGCGATTCAGAAAGTGATCTAGACACTTGTCGAACGAATGAAAGAGCACAAGAGTTAAAAAAGCAGTTAGAAAAAGAACATAATCAATTAACCGTTACCGAGTAAAAGCAGTTAGAAAAACAACATAATCAATTAACCGTTACCGAGTATAATCGTAAAAGGGCTATTTTTGAATACCTTACCTTGTTACATGACAATAATGGACACGGAAGAATTAATGCCAGTTTAGATATCTTACAAAGTATTGGTTATTTAACGATAAGCTCCCAACATCTAAACATGGAAAACACCAAAAAACAATTAGAATAATAGATGACGAAGACGTTGCAGAAAAATGTCATATTTGGATTAGAAACCAAAATTTTAATGCCACACCAGCCACGTTTAAAAATTTGTCTGGTTTACATTATAGGAGCATGCCATAGGCAGCGCATCTATAATGACTATTACCTAGGGCTGTTAAAATTCTGATTCGGTTCGATCGGCTCCGGAAGCCGAGCCTTAATTGAGGTTCGGTTTAAAAGACTGGTTCACAATCATATCAATCATGCATTTATGACATATACATAAGTCGCATTTATGACATGACATCACTATATTTCAGCGCGAACACGAAAAACATAATTTTTACTTAGAAGGTAAGTAATTATAAAAAATTGTTTATATTGCCTAATTTATTCTAATTTTTTATTTATTATAGAATGTCGGCGTCTAACCAGCTCTTTAAACATACCGAGGCTCTTGTTGTCTCTTCGAGAAGGCTGTTTCTTTCAAGACTAAGAGTGTTCTTTGCTGTAGAAAAAACACGTTCGCAAGGAACACTTGTGGTTTGCAATACGAAGTAATCTGCAGCCATGCAGGCCACCGTTGGAAAGCGAATAGCATTAGTTTTCCACCACAGCAGTGGATTGGCACTTGGTTCTGGAGGTAGGGAAAGGTAAGTAGCCAATTCGTTCGTGGTTTCGTTTTTCTTATTTTCATTTGATTGAACTAATTTTCGAAAAATTTCTAGTGCATCTTCTGTTTAGGTGACGATACCACGTTATCTGTATATTATGCTGAATAAAAAATCTTTAAGAGATTAGTGATCACCTGGCGATCCTCTTCGTCGAAAGTTTCGAATTTGTTTGATGGGTCAAGAAGGGTAGGTATAGTCGAAGTTTGCGAAAGGTAATCCCATAGTTTGACAACTTGTTTTTCATATTTTGTGCTATTTCGCGATACATACTAATGCTTAAAATATGAAAATCAAGGTGTGCAAAAAGCCCTTTAATAATTAGTCGTAATGATCCTTGAGAAAGTGATGAAGCATTCGATAGGACCAATGTTGCTTTGTAGAAGGGTTTAAGAAGTTGAATTGTATCCTTGATTATCTCCCAGTCATCAGGATTTAAATAATTTCTTTTAATTCAGGACGAGACTGCATGAGACCATCAGTAATATTCTGGATTTCGACGAACTGTTCAAGCATAAGGTAAGTATAATTCCACCTCGTTTCAACGTCAAGTATAGAATGGAGGAATGGACAATTTAAAATAGCGAAGATTCTTTTTATATCTTCTAGGAGTAAAGGTGAGTTTCGTATTTTGCTACAGAATTGACGTGCCTTATTTACTTGACTAAGGTATTTTTTTTGACCTGCTTTTACGACAAGGTTTAGAATGTGCGTCGCACATCGTACATATATAAAATCGGCGCTTATAGATCTTTGGAGGTAACGCAAACAGCTTTGATTATTTGATGCACAAGCGTAAAGGCTTGGGCTATGCTCCAAGTTTAGTTATTTGAGTTTTACTTTTTTAAAAAATTATAAAATATAGTTTTTTATTGAAAAAAACTTATTTTTTATATAGTTTTTTATTAAAAAAACTTATTTTTTATATAGTTTTTTTTATATGGTTTAATTTTAAATGGTGTAAAGACTTGGGCTATGCTCCAAGTTTAGTTATTTAAGTTTTACTTTTTTAAAAAAATTTTAAAAAATAGTTTTTTATTAAAATAAATAGAAAAAAATTTTATTTTTTAAATAGTGTAAAGGCTTGAGCTATGTCCAAGTTTAGTTATTTAAGTTTTATTTTTTTAAAAAAATTATAAAAAATAGTTTTTTATTAAAAAAAATTCATTTTTTGAATATTTTAATTTTAAATAGCATAAAAACTTAGGCTATGCTCCAAGTTTAGTTATTTAAGTTTTACTTTTTTTTAAATGATAAAATTGAATTTAATTTTTATATTTTTATATAAAAAACAGTTTTTTATTTTTAAAAAAAAAATGATTTATTTTTAATTGTTAATTTAAAAAAAAAACTTTATTTTTTTTAAAAAATTTTAATTTAATTTATATTTATTACAAATTTTTTATTTGTAATAAGAAAAAATATTTATTTTTAATTTTTATTTTAAAGGCAAAAACTTATTTTTTACTTTTTATTTTAAAAACAAAGTTTATTTTAATTTTTGTTATTCTTAAAAAAAAATCAAACTTTTTCTTTTCATTCAAAAAAAGTTAAAGAAAAGAAAAAAGGTTTATTTCAATTTCTTATTTTAAATAAAAAAAAGTTTATCTTTAATTTTTATTTTAAAAGAAAAAAACTTTATTGTTATTTTTTATTCTAAAAAAGGTTTTATTTTTATTTTAAAAAATAATTATTTTATTATTCTAAAAAAAAAAAAAGAATTTATTTTAAAAGAGAAAAATTTATTTTTAAAAAATTTATAATTTTAAAAAAGAAAGAAAATTTTTTAAAATCCTTTTTTATTTAAAAATATTATTCTTTATATAATATTTTTTTTATTTATTTTCATTTTATAATTTTTTTTTAAATTTTTTTAATTTCATAATTTTTTTTCATTTTATAATTTTTTTTTAAATTTTTTTATAATTTTTATTTAAATGAAAAAAAATAAAGAAAAATTTATAAATTTTTAATTTTTTTTTATTTTTTTATTTTTTTTTTAAAAGAAAAAAAAAAGAAAATTTTTTTACATTTTATTTTTATTTATAAAATATCTCTCTATATATAATATTTTTTGTATATATTCCATCCTTTCCCATCACATGTCCATTTTTTATCATGATCTTGATATTATTTTTGGACTGAACTCTAGATAAGGCTACATATAATTGTCCATGGATAAAAACAGATTTAGGTAAATACAATCCCAAATTTGTGATTGTTTGACCTTGTGCCTTATTTATGGTCATTACAAAAGACAATTTAATAGGAAATTGTCTTCTGATTAATTGAAATGGGAGATCAGAATCAGTTGATATCAATCTTATTCGAGGTATAAAGACCTTTTTTCCTTTATTGATTCCTGTAAGAATTTCTGCATCAATAATATGTTGCTGACATTCCTTAATTATTAATTTGGTTGGATTGAGATTCCTTAATAAAATTACAGGAACATTTTTTTTAAGCACCAATTTATGGGAAGGCATTCTACTTGGCATCAGGGTATTTAAAAATTCAGAAGGATAAAGACTTTGATCAATTTCATCTTTATCCTTAACTGAATCTGCAGATAGGAATTCAAAGGTTTCTCCAGGAATATATTTTAATACTTGTTGATTGATTTCCTCCACATCTGCATTTTTTGTTGTAAAAATCACTCTATTTTCAAGATAATTTTTATCTTGATAATTTGAATTGATATTATGAAAAATTTGTGATATCAATTCATCAAGATTTTCATTATCAAGAATGAGATCATCTGATAATCTTATGAAATTATTGTCAATGTCAGGATCTACAGGTTCTCTGCCTTCACCAATCCTTAATAAGAAATCAACAAAGTTTTTTTGTTCAACATCATGTTGTTATTGAACTCTCATGTTGACTGTTAATTTCATATTTTGAATATCTTTTCAAAGAATGGAAGATTTCAAACATGCATCAACAATTTGCATATGAGTACCTCGAATTACAACAGGTAAGATTTGTCTGAAATCTCTTTCAAGAACAATCACCTTGCCTCCAAATAATTTGTCTACATTTGTTAAATCTCTGAATGTTCTATCAACTGCTTCAAAAGCATATCTGTGTACCATTGGGGTTTCATCCCATACAATGATCTTGGCAATCCTGATTAAGTTGACCAATTCAGAATTTTTTTCAATTGGCAAAGTGATAGTTTCAGTCAACTTTAATGGAATTTTAAATTTTGAGTAGGCAGTTTTTCCTCCACTCATCAACAATGCAGCAATTCCTGAGGATGCCACAGCTATTGCAATTCCATTTAAACCACTTGATGATCGCACATGAGCCAAGATCATATTATAGAGAAATGTTTTTCCAGTTCCTCCAATCTCCATCAATAAAAAAAACATTTTGTTGAATTTTTTTATCAATTGCTTTCATAATAGTATCAAAAATTAATTTTTGATCTTCATTTAATTTATCAAGATGATGTAGAACTTGTTGAATTTCATCTTGATTATAATTTTGTTCTTCAGCAATTAATGAATTTGGATTATTCTCAAGTA